CTTGTGTCTCTAAACCTCTTCTCCACAGAGATCCCGAACCGGTCCAAGGAACTGCTGGAGAACAGACTCCCTTCCCTCCCCACTATCCTTCTGGTCTTTTCTCTCCATATTTGCCCCTTTTGTTCCATGCCCCCTCCCCCAACCCTCCCCATCAATGTATAGCATGGAGACTCCCCCACAGGGGACTATGGAAGGGCAGAAAACGTCTTGAGGGTTTCTGTGGTGGGAAGAATGTGTATTGTTTACACTGTTGTTTCCGAAGCTGGCTGATCACCCAAATTGCCCAGGGAGCGTCTTAAAAGCGTAAATTCCCTGGGGGCCCTCCCTCAGGAGATTCTGGTTCATCGCAGAAGTGATGAGGGTAGTGGAGGAGGAATTATCCAGGTGAAACATGGTGTTGGGGGTGGTGGGGGTGGGGGGTCAAGTCATCTCAGGCAGGGCATGCAGCAAATTCAAAGACAGCGCCAAGAGGGAGAAGTTCGTGCTCAGGGACAGACAGCAGCCTGAGGGGGCTGGGGCAGAAGGTGGGGAGGCCAAGGGTTCACAGAGAGCCTCAAATGCCACGCTAAGGGGTTTGGACTTCATCTTGTCATGCCTGCCTCGCCTTCTCCCAAGGGTTGCTTTCCTGATCAAGGCTGTCAACTCAGCAAACGCAAACTCCTGGAACAAAGGCAGCGCTTACCACCTGGGGCTTGTAGGGCTTCATCAAGGCAGGTGGAGGCGGAGGCAGGTGGAGGCAGGTGGAGGCCGGTCTAGACCCAGCCAGCTCGCTTCCCGGAACCCTGCCCGAGGCCAGCTGCAGGTGGGTCTGCCGTGCAGTCTTCACTTCCATTTGCTGGCATTCAGGTGGTTTATTGGCTAATTTCGGTTTATTGGTGTCTGTGGCTTCAGAGAAGGAGGAGAGAGAGGTTTGCATGCTCTGAGAGAGGAAGTTGCCTGAAGCGACTGAGTGGCTTGGACTTCCTAGTTTTCTCTCAAACGCAAAATAATGAATCAAGAATATTATCACTTAAACACCTATTTTTCTCTTCCCAATTTTTGATCAGTGTTGGATTTCTCAGCAGCAGCGGAGCTGTTATGGTGAAATGCTACGGCAGGTGCCAAGGGGGCATCTCTGGGAAAGAGGTTGGCCTGGGCTGGGAGCCTGTGTCCTGTCTCGGGCAATTCAGTTCAACAGATATATACTGTGTACTTTGTGTCAGGCAATGTGCAAGGCACTTGAGACAGGACAGAAGCGTTTCTATGACCCTGTTTCCCCACCTGCAGAATGGTAATACTGTATTCATACAGTACCTAACTGAAGATGGTGTAATATAGTGGGTGGTTAAAAGCTGGGCTTTGGTGTCGGACTTGGGTTCAAATTCTAGCTCCACCACTAAACAGCGGAGTGATCCTACTTAAACTTCTTTTTTTTAATTATAACTTTTTTTATTGAGTTATAGTCATTTTACAATGTTGTGTCAAATTCCGGTGTAGAGCACAATTTTTCAATTATACATGCACATACATACATTCATTGTCACATTCTCTTTCGCTGTGAGCCACCACAAGATCCTATATATATTTCCCTGTGCTACACAGTACAATCTTGTTTATCTATTCTACATTTTGAAATCCCATTCTGTCCCTTCCCACCCCCCATCCCCCCGGCAACCACAAGTTTGTATTCTATGTCTATGAGTCTGTTTCTGTTTTGTATTTATGTTTGTTTTTTTTTTAGATTCCACATATGAGGGATCTCATATGGTATTTTTCTTTCTCTTTCTGGCTTATTTCACTTAGAATGACATTCTCCAGGAACATCCATGTTGCTGGAAATGGTGTTATGTTGTCAGTTTTTACGGCTGAGTAGTATTCCATTGTATAAATATACCACATCTTCTTTATCCAGTCATCTATTTATGAACATTTAGGCTATTTCCATGTCTTGGCTTGTAAATAGTGCTGCTATGAACATTGGGGTACAGGTGTCATCCTGAAGTAGGGTTCCTTCTGGATATAAGCCCAGGAGTGGGATTCCTGGGTCATATGGTAAGTCTATTCCTAGTCTTTTGAGGAATCTCCATACTGTTTTCCACAGTGGCTGCACCAAACTACATTCCCACCAGCAGTGTAGGAGGCTACTTAAAGTCTTTGTAGCTTCCTTAGCTGCAAAATGGGACTAAGAACAGTGCTTACCTACTAAAACTTGTTATGAGGATTTAGGGAGATTATACCTCATACAATACCTGGCCCATAGTAAGTGCTCAGGTAAAAATAAATAAAACTGTTTCTTTCTTTCTTTTCTTCCTTTCTTCCTCTCTTTCTTTCTTCCTTTCTTTTTCTTTCTTTCTTTCTTTCTTTTCTTTCTTTCTTTCTTTCTTTCTTTCTTTCTTTCTTTCTTTCTTTCTTCTCTTTCTTCTCTTTCTTCTCTTTCCTTCCTTCCTCCCTTCCTCCCTTTCTCTCTCTCTCTTTCCTTCTTTCCTTCTTTTTTGGTAAAAATAAGGAGCCTAGCCCACAGCAGGACCTAGCATATATCCATGGAGGTAAAGACCCAGTACACTGTGGATCAGTGGATCAGTGTAGGATAATTTTGGCTGTAAGTGGTAGAAAAAACTCAAACCAAATTAAACTGTAAGCATACTTAAGTGCTGTCATAAATGATAGCACAGCGTTTAGGGGGCCTTCTTGGTTTACCAAACCCAATGTGTGTGTCTGGGTTTCCTGTTGATTCTCTTGTCTCTGCTACTCACGATCTGGTGGTAAAATATCTGTAGGCTTCCTCACCCTCACACCCAGGCACGGCAACGCCCGAAGGAAAAGATAAAGGATTGTGTCAAGAAGTTCTCCCAGAAAAGGGAGGAGGAACTGTTCCCCAGTCTATAGAAAACCTCTTCTCAGATCTCAAGAGCCCGCATGGGGCTACATGACCATTCCTGACCAAATCGTGGGCTGGGGGATTGAATAATCTGCAGGCTATGTAAATTCATGACAGGAGCTGGGGTTGAATTCCTCTCTGCCTGAGGCGAGAGCTCTAAGGGGGAGAAACAGAAACAAAGTCATGGTTCCTAGGAAGGAAGAAGGGGATAAAATGGATGCTGGGTAGACAGCCATTTTGTGGAAGAGTTTTTTGGAGTCAGATGCTAAAAATAATAATTAACAATAATGATTCCTTATAGACTTATGACATCTGGTAATTTTTAGAGGCTTAATTTCCAACCCGTTTTCAGACTCTTTGAGGGAAGATTCCCCACTTCCTTGATAGTTACTGAGTTTCTAGAGCTTTCTAAAACCTGTTTTATCAGTGGTTTCAATTTCCTTTGTCAACAAACTTCTGCCTATAGGGTGGATTGAAAAGGGCTGCATCCTGTTAACAATTGTGACTCCTTTAGGCAAATCCCAGCCTGATCTGAGTCCAGAGCTGCTGAAATCAGAAATGATCGTAGAAATCATTAGTCCAGTGGTTCTCAAGTCTTTGGACAGGCATGGTGGTGGGGTAAGTGCATCCCTTAACCTGTATACACATTTGTGCTTTATAGCTTCCAACATATTCTCAAAAGGGCTGAGACCCAAACAGGTGGAACTCCTTATTTACAGGTGAGGAAAATGAGGCTCAGAAAGAAGGATGACCTGGCTGAGGTCACATTATGTAATCAGTGCTATACTGGGAAAAGGACAGTGATTTAAAAACTGGGATCTATAGAATTCTATGAGCTGCTTCAGTGATCTTACAAATATTTGATTCAAATTCTGTTTTTAAACTGGTAATAAATATTATAGACACTTGCAATAAAATGGAGAAATTGGAGAGCCTCATATAAGGCTGCAATTGCCTTCTATAACTCCAATAATTTTTTTTGAAACAGCTTTACTGATTGACATGAAATGAATGCTGATAAATGTGAACTTAGGAATTTATCCTGATAAAAGACACTTTAAGTCTTTTACTTTGCAGTTTCCTTTGGAGAAAAAAAAAGAGTGAGGGTTTGCTGCTAAAAAGAAGTTTGGAAACTGGTGGTTCACCGTTTATTAGCTGAGTGACCTTATGAAGATCCAGTGTGGTGAAGACCAGACAGAATGTATTTTAAAGGGCCACGTAAGATCGAAGATCTGCGGAAGCCTGGTTTCCTCCCACTAGGGCCAGTGTGTTAAAACACGTTGTGGTTACAAACACCCCATCTACTTTCTTCATTTGGACTGAACTTCAGCCTAGGTCAGATGACCCAAAACTAAGGTTTGTTTAAGGCTTACTTGGGTATGAATGCAAAGTTTCACCAGTCAAATGAACTTTGACAATGTTGAAAAGTTGTGACCTACATGTAAAATGACTGTTGGTGGTGGTGTGTATATGGGAGTGGGGGAGGCAGACACTGTCACACGAGGACACATTTTGTCCCCTTAGGAGTCTTCAGCACTAGACAGATTCATGTCTGAAACCCAGCCCTGCTCCTTACTAACCATGTGATTTGGGTTAAGTTTTAACCTTTGAGTCCCAGGGTGCTCATGGGCAAAATGGGGATAATAAATTATCTCATCAAGTTCTTTTGAAGATAAAATGGTAGAATATACGTACAAGTACTTGAGCACAGAGCTGGGTACCTGGTGCTCGACAAATGCCATTAACTCCAGATAGTTCTTCGAAGGTTGAATGTTGCAGGTAACACCCATTGGTTTTGTATCATTTATTTCTCTCCTTGAAAGTAGGGGGTATGCTGGTGTGATTAGCTAGGTGGCAGCAAGAAATGAGTTTCTGACCTGTTTGGATTAAGGCAAAGGGAAATGAAACCAGCCAAGGACTGATGGATCTCAAACTCCCCAGGGAAAATGTGCGGGCAGATGCACCAGACAGGGCCAAGACATGAGAGATGGCAGCTGGACCACCGCCTCGTCCTCTGGCCCAGGAAGAGCACACAGAAGCCAAAGCAGCCGGCCCAGCACTGGAGGAACTGATGTGTCACTTCGGAAGAACGAAATCTGCATACACTAAATGCAGGCAGAAACAGGCTGTCACTCAAAGCAAATGAGTAATAAATGTGAACGCTTTATTACATACGACATTGGAAAGGGAGGCCACTTGGAAAAAATTCCTGCACTAACACTGTCATCCTCGAGCTCCTTCCTTCAATGCTTCCTCCCTCCCAAGCAATTTAATTCCAACCCACTGGTTTATGAATCCACAAGGCAGAAGAGCAAAGGTTATCTAGTATCTGGAGACAGGGGAACTCAACGAACAGAAAGCACTGATACTCTTGAGTCTGAGAAGCGATTTTCAGCCAGGAGATGTGGTTGTTTCCTGGTCCTCAGTGGCCCAGGATGAGCCACCTCACAAAAGAGAGAAAATCATTACTTTAAAATTCAAAATACAGATGCAGCTTGAGTTCCAAGCCAAAATGCTCCACATCCATCTAATGATCTCAGCCAGGAAACTGGGTCCAGGGTGGTTCCAGGCTTTGTAAGATAAGCTTGGGGAATGGGCGACAGGGCAGGGGATGCTCGTAGGCTGGCAATGACAGTGACCCAGCTCAGGACAGATATGAAAGATGGCTCTGGGTAAGGAAGCCGCTATCCTTAGACTTCTTGAGGTGAACTCAGAGCTTCGAAGAGGAAGTGGTACAAATGTCACCAGCCAGCCTTCCAGACCAGAAGGAAGAGCTCCAGGTTACTCAGAGTCACACGCATTTGTGAAACGGAAGCCGCTTCCTAATATTACGGATACAGCAACGAGGGTTCAGAAGGGCTGACCACTTCCTTCTTCAGCATCAACATACACGACAGAAAAAGAATGACTACTAGGCAATAAAAAAAGAGCTGTATCTATTTTGATGTCCTAAGTTTGACAGCGTCTTCTCAGTCTCATGGGATACCGTGTGCCCAAGTCCGTGAATTCCTTATACTACTTAATGAATGGTAACCAAGACAGTTCACAGCGCACAAGAGATAGCATGCAGACAGTAAAATATAATGGTTTTCTGAAGATTTGTTTTTAAAAAGTATTAGTCCTTAAGCTATCGAAACGGGTATATAAACAGCTACATATAGAATTTAGAGAGAATTTTGTTTAAAACAACCAAAACTAGTTAAAACCTGATATATGAAAATAGGCAAAAGTGAAGGAAGAAAAGCACATTTGTGACAAGCATTCGGCTGGTTTGAAAGACCACAGAGGAATCACTTCCCTATCAAGGGGCTTCAAAGAAGTTAAAAAAAAAACTACATTATTTTAAAAGGACCTCCATCACAGTGAGTGTAAAAGTCTTTCGAGTTAAATAATCATTTTCCTTGATCTCGACCATTTCCTCCAGTACTGACAGGTACTGGCAAGAAAATGTCTACGCTCAAGTAAGGATTATTTTGAAACATGGTTTGAGTTTTGAAAGTAAACAGATGTTAGGAAAACTTCCTTAATTGAGACTCCCTGGAAGTAAGGCACATTTGGCCCAGAGAAGCTGGCTGTAGCCCAAGGTCACTGTTCTCTGTAAAACATTTGTCCAGCCAGGGTGACAGGTGGTGGTGACAGTCTATCTTCTTGCTTTGGCCTGGCTGCTGACAGAGGGTGCAGAATGACGCAATGAAAGTTGAAAGAAGAGGGATTTAACCCACTACACAACGATCTAAAAACAGGAACTTGAAAATATTTTAGAGTAGGAGACTATGCTACGTAAATCGCCTCTCTCTCTTGCACAGTATTTACAAGCTAACAATCTCCATTTGTCGCTAGGATCACTGTACAGCCTAAGAACATCAGAGTCAACATACAGAAAAGGGAAGGGAGGGAGAGTAGTCAAGGTTCCTGCCCTTCTCCCTCCTTATGGGTTAGAGGCTGGTTTGGTCCCCACTTCATCCTTAGGAGGGAAGAGCTCATCTCTGCCTCGGCCTATGTGGCTCACTTTTTTGCCCCTATGATGCCTTGCAACATATCTATGGGCAGAGGGAAGACAATGGTCGAGTTTTTCTCGGCAGCGATGGTGGTCAGTGTCTGAAGGTACCGGAGCTGAAGGGCCGCGGGAGATTCCGTGATGACCATGGAGGCTTCCTTCAGAGCTCTGGACGCATTCATTTCTCCCTCAGCTGCAATGACCTATGGAACAGAGGCAAGGAGAGATCATACTGGAGAAAACCTCCAGTGTGTCGAGCAGCAATCTTCAAACTGGGCTATGCCGACTGCAGGTGGTACACAGAGCTTCCCAGGGAGGTTTGGCCAGAATTGTTTTAAGGAAATCAATTTCCATATACTCAGTTTCTCTATATTCTTTCTCCTGTAACTGATTTGCCTGAGTACATGCCTGAGGTCAAGCCATCCCCTTCTACTGTTTCATGCCTTTCTCCCATTTTCCAGGGCAACAAACAAAGGGACAATTCAAAATACCATGTAGGGGTTGAGGAAGTGAATGGCTCTGATGACTGGATACAAAGCCTTTTGCAAGTCAGATGGATTTTCAATTCTTTGATTTCAAAGAAAGGAAAGTGGACCTTATTGTACTGAAAGCGGATAGACAATTAAACATATTCTTCAATGAAAAAATTGCTGTAGGATTTTTTAGCATATAAATTCAGAGGGAGTGCCAAGCAGTATATAAGTTACTTAAAAAAATAACTTCCATTTCCATTTACTTATATATGTAAGCAAGGTTTCTTACTCCTTACATCTGTAAAAATGAAAAATAAGGATAGAATTGGTGCAGAATCATCTTATTCTAGCAACAAGTAAGAGCTATCTGCAAATACATGAATTGATTCCTCTTTCATCTCACCGGGAGAAGCATTTCTAGGAAAAATGTATTTCTTAATTAGAAGAAATTCTAAAACATTTAGAACCTTGTTTGTGGTGACAGAAAATTAAAAAAAAATTTTAACTGATATACTACCAAATGTGTTGCAGAAGGGTGATCAAATTATTCGTGGCAAAATATATTATATTAGGAAAACAATCAGTCTGGGAGGTGGAACCGAAATAGAAGTTCAAGGAGGAAAAGGAACAAGGAAAAATTCCTAACTGTTCAAAGAGCTTATTTTTCCATCATTCTGTGAAACAGATAGTAAAATCATTGTTATCTAAATCTCACTGGATACATTATTTAAAAGAATGATGTTAACAGTTTTATTTTAAAATGTCAACAATTAAAACATGCCAGGACTTATGTGCTTGGCAAGTATATAAATTCAAAATGAAAATTTTTACGTGTCTATTTAAAATGCATGATGGGACACAGAGTCTTTCTAAAATTCTTTTAGGGGTTACATGAGCAAAAAAATCTGAAGATCACTGGAGTGGTGGGGAGGGCAGGGGCTTTGAAGTTTGGATAGTTTTGAGCTTAAATCACAAACTTAACCCTTACCAGCTGAATGTCCTCCAAAAGGTTATTGAAGAGAGGAGGGTATAGCTCAGTGGTAGAGTGTGTGCCTAGCATATACGAGGTCCTAGGTTCAATCCCTGGCACCTCCATTTAAAAATAAATAAATAAACCTAATTACTTCCCTCTCACCAAAATAAATAGAAATTTTAAAAAAGGTTATTTAATGTTCTGAGCCTCAATTTCTTATTCTTAAAACAGGATAGCACCTACCTCATGGGACCATTGTGAGGAGGACAGAGAAGGTATATTATGTGTCGAGTGTATAAACGGAGGCTAATTATACAGGAAGGGCAAGTGGCGAGTCAAGACCTAATTTTGCATCCACCTATGCCACAATTCCTAAAAGGTTCTTAAAAGCCAAGTCAAGGCTGTTACTTCCAATTCATAATCCCGGGAGAAGACGTGTAAAGATACCATAATCCTCAAGATTAAAAGTGCAGCTGTTCTCACATGGATCTCAAAATATAAACGGTTCCTAATACTCCTGTGAATACCAGAAAAGAAAGCAATGGTCTTCTGACCAGGACAACTTCATTCACTCATAGAGTAAACTTTGGGGGCCTCCTGGGTGTCAAGCCCTGTGAGGGGCTAGGGACAGAGGTGGACTCCCCCGCCTCCTTCAGCTCCTGGCCGAGTAGGAGAGGCAGACTTGGAAGCAGCTCATTTCATTCCAGTGTGACAAAGGCTGACAGATAAATGTACAAGGCACAATGCTGGCGCTAACAGACAAGCAGTTTTTGCAGAAGGTGAAGTGGTGAGGTTATAGAAGTTGAACATTATAGGATGAGAGCCTTGTTGTTTGGACTATGATGAGGAGGAATATTTCAGGCAGAACACAGGAAAAGGTACTGAAGTATAAAAAAGCTGGCATGTTCCAGGACCCTGTAAGGGGTTGAACACTGTGAGGAAGAGGGGAAGGCAGGGGATGAAAGGGGCAGAGGAGAAGGTGGGGGATGAAAGATGTTGGGCGGGAAGGTGGGGGATGAACGGGGCAGGGTGGGAAGGGCAGCACATGCCCAGGTGTTGCTCGTCTCCATCCTGCGGGCGATGGGAAGCCTCATCAGATCCAGTTTCAGAAAACACTGACAGACGTCTGAGCATCAGCGAGACTGAGAGCCAATGGAGGGACAGCTTCGGAGTGATTTGGTGCCAGTCACCGGCAATAGGGACGGAGCAGGACGTGCACTTGGGCGCTGTTGGGGAGGGAGACTCAACAGGGGACTGGGGCGGGAAGGAAAGGGGAACAGAGGCTGAATCCTGGTTCCGAGGTTGTGGTTGCTGGGAAGTGCATGAGGTGAGACGGGATGCTTACTGGGAGAGGGGATCCTGATTAGAGGCTAAAAGTCTTCATTTATCAAGGCAAACCATTAAGCCCTACTAGGTCTGTGAGAAATGGCCAATGCCAGACACACTGAGGGGCATCCGCAGCTGTCCCCCCGGGCAAGCCCTGGAGAGAATGCACAGGCCAGCCCTGCCACGAGACGGCAGGCTGGGATTTTTTTCCATGTCATCTCAGATGCCCAATTAGGCACTTCTTTTGGTCTGGACATGGACCAACTGCAGTGATAGCTCATCAACCACTTCCCATCAATACACCATCTCTTGGCTGGGAAGCCAGACTCACCTGGCTGGGAACACACTTTGTTAACAGAAAAGCTGCTCTGAGTGAGCTGCCAAAGACGTGCACACACTACCGCTGCCTCGGTCTAAGTATAGGCCAAGCGGACGCTCTGGATAGGATCTGAGAAAGCAACGCAAACTACTCATGCGTGAGTGGGGCTTTTGCCCGAAGTGCAGCAATCCCCCATCCATAGATATTGCATCTTCACAGACCATCATTTGGAAATCTGGCATTTTCGAGCACATGGGAGGCTGTCCCTTCCTGCAGCTCAGGTGGGCCGGTCTGAGGGAGGGCAGAGGACAGTGAGCTGCGTTCTTACCTCCCACCTCTCAATTAATACGCGCCTAGACCCAGAGATACGGGCCCGAAACCACATGCCAGGCATTTTTTGGAAAGTCATGAAAAAGGAAATAATGGAGGATTTGCAAGCACAGAAGACATCCCATTTGCAGTCATTAAGAGTTGGTCTGAAAACTTTAAAAAGAGGTTCTGCAACGTATCATAACAGGTTCCGGAGAACCTGTCCTCTTTGGTGACTGGCTCCTTTCTCTCAGATTATGCTTGTGAGCACTTCTATGTTCATTCTCTTTGCTCTGTAGTATTCCTTCGTGTAAACCATACTTTACTTATCCAGCCAACTAGCAATGGACACTTGGGTGGTTTCCAGTTGGGGGTAATTGCGAAGCGCTGCGGAGGGTGCTCTAGGACAAGCGTTTTGGTAAACAAACAAGTGACTCCTTCAAGATACATCCAGCCAGATGGTTTTCCAAAGTGGATGTACTGACTTATACTCGCACCAGCAAAACCTTTCACCCATACTTGCTTCTCTTCCTTTCTCTTTTTTAAGCCATTCTGGTGGATGTCTACTGTGGCATCTGCTTGTGACTGGAATCTGCATTTCCCTGAGGCTAGTTAACTTAAGGAATTTTCCTCTGAAGTCTCCATCTACAGGCTCTTCCACCCTTTTCCTTTGCAATTTATTTGCTCAAGAAACCGTGACCTCTATTCTTCATGAGAACTTGAATATATGGCTGTATGCATGGTGCAGGGTTACTGTATATCATAGAAGTGTGAGCCTCATTGTGACGCTGGGTGTTAGCCCTAAGATGAAAGGCAGTCACTGCCTGTGTCCACAAGACTGCTTCCAGAGGAAACCTGACAGCCCTATAGAAGCGAGAGCACCGTTAATTCAGAATTCTAACCGGCTTCCTTGATCTCTTCTTATTGTTATAAAAAGTCACGAGCTCTTTCCTAACTGGTGAGAACATCTGTAAAGGAGGCTCCGTCCATCCTGGAATGTCTCAGAAGAGGACTCTCATTTCCATGGTCACTAATTGACCACAGAAAGGAAGCAGAAACAAGGAGAAGGATAAAGATGCTGAGGAAATCACATAAGTTTTCTAGGCTTCAATTTTTTCACCTGAATAGTGGGAGGGCAAATAAGTTTCATTTTTCAGGCCAATTCCAGGCAGCTGTGGGTTGTCACCCAGAGTGCTGCAGCATGGTTGTGAGGGCAAGTCAAAGCTCAGTGGAAAACAGTGCCGTGGTTAATTAGTGGCATGGGAGCGGGACGGTGGAGTGGCAGCATCTGGGCCAGGTATTTGTCACCTTCAGAAGATAATCCCTGAGGATTCTTCAGGCTCTGACATCCTACGCAGTCTATGTAGAATAAATTCTATTACTCAGTATCGTTTGGAAATGGGGCTTTTGGTTAATGACATAGTCTAGGTCAAAGCGATTCCTAATTTTCAAGATAACTAGATCATAGTAGGGCATATTTAATATCATTATCATAAATATAATTTAATCTTCTATGATGGTTTTGAAAGCAAGTACTTGGGGGTTCTGTAGTATCATCACAGGCATCAAGTATCACATTAGGGAAATCTAAAAATTCTGCTTAGTAGAAAATTCCAGATGCAGTGTATCAAATGAGCTGCTATTGTGTTTGGGGCTGGCTAAAAAATTATAGTGACCAATCTGTGGCTTGCAGGGCATCCTAACGGAAGGGCAGGGTTCCGTGGTTAGCCAATTATCACCAGTTACTCCTGTTTCCTAACAACAACAAATTGGTTTGCTCCTTGTGTCTTGGGAGATCCGTCAAGTCTACAGCAACTGCTCCTATGAAACTATCACTTTTCATCCACCCATTTACAGTTAAGGGGCTGTGGGACCTTGTAAGGTTCTTTGAGCGAAGCTGGACCAAAGAGAATCTCTCTGCTGTGAATCTGGAATCAGGGCTGGTCCGTCTCCTTCAGTGTGCAACGGGGAAGACACTGAGGCTTGGGAGTCAGATATTCTCCACCTCCAGCTGACTGCAGGGAAACGCGGCCCAGGATGTGGGACACCTGCCTCCTCTGAGGCTGCTTTCTGGTCCCTGGCCCCAGCTGTGCTGAGACTTGACTCTACTTCCTGCCCTAGCGTTTGGATCCCTGCATCCTCACGCACTACCATCTCAATGGGTCCTCTTTCCCAGGTTAACCAATGTTCCCTCAGCACCTCCCACAGGGGTCATGCACCCGTGCAGGGTGAAGACATAGGCAGGGATGACGATGAAAATGAGGAGGGGAAAAAGGCAGACGTCCAGAAAAGAGAAGTGAAAAAAAGAGGAGAGGAAGGAAGCAGAAACAAGGAGAAGGATAAAGATGCTGAGAAAAGAGAGAAATGAAAGAGAAGACAGAAATAAGGAAGGAAGGAACGGTAAGCAAACTGATGAGATTGCCCATCTGCTCTGAAGTCAGAACTGTCAAGGTGTCCTTAACAGGGGATTGGGAGGATAAGGTATGGGACACGCAGTTACAACAGAATGAGGTATCTCTCTCTGCACAGTACATCCCCAGGAGGTACTGCTAAGTGAGAAGAGTAAGGTGAAGAACAGGATGTGTTGTATGATCCTACTTTTATAAAACAAACAAGCCAGTGGTCTAAGAACCCAGTCAAATAAACCCCAAGTAAATAAACCCCAAACGACAATCTGGAAGGCCACACACCACACTGTTAAGGGGGGCGCCTCTGGGCAGAGGGGAAGGGGGGATATGATTTGAAGTGACGGGGAGAGCTTTCATGTTTACTAAATACTTCAGGATTATTTCAAATTTTTACAACAAGCATGTTTTACTTTGTGTAACTAAAAAAGAAAATCCAATAGGAAAAACAAACTATCAAAAAAAAAAAAAGGTTAACCTTGGCTCGGGCCTCGCGGGACGCCTCTGCTTCTGCGGCCATGGCTCTCTGGAGCTGCACGGGTAGCTTCACATCCTTAATTTCCACCCGCTCCACCTTTATTCCCCAGTCATCAGTGGCATCGTCCAGGGTAGTCTGTTAGGAAGAGGGAAGGCAAGCTAGAAGCGGGCAGCCCTGGCCCTGAGGCCTAAGGTGGATGAATTCACTGGGATCTGGAGTGGGTAAGGTGCTGGCGGACAGTGGTAGGCAGCCGAGTTATCCGTGGAGGAAGGAAGGCTGCAGGGGAGGCTAGGTCACTGGGGAGCTGATCTTGATTCTGTTACCAATAAGCTAACGCAGGTTTGCAAAGTTTTCCTAAAAGGGTCCGGTAATGCCTGTTACATTTCAGTCTCTGCTGCAACTAACCCCTGCCACTGCAGGTCAAATGCAGCCGTGGATAATACACCAATCTGTGGGCGTAGCTGCCTTCCAACAAACCTTCTCTTATAAAACAGGTGCCCAGCCGGCTCCTGGGCGAACGTGACTCTGAGTAAGCCACGTGACTTCTTTGTCCTTCAGCTTCCTTTACAATGGCAGGAATGAAATCACACCATCCATTTCATGTGGCTTACCATCAAGTAAGATCAAAGATTTTACACACAATGACATCTATACCAACAATAAGAATCCAGATTTATAGGACTGTATCTTTTTTGAACAAGTCGGGTTTGATTCATCAGCCGTTACACTAGCAAGACTGGAAAACACAAAAGTCACAGCGGGACCCGCACAGAATACGGCTTTAGCAATACCCACACTACCTGGCTGAATGGCTCCTGAACTGTTAAGCTCAGGAAAAACGTTAATACTAATTTTGGGGGGAAAATACACACTGGAGGAAATGAAAAAAAGCAAACGCATACATCAGAGTGCTGTTAACCCATGAGCTATTTATGTGAAAAACTAGATCCCCTTCCAACAAGTTTTGGAAAAACTTTTCTATGGAGAAAAAAAAAAAAGGCTGGTGATTCCCTGACTTGAATTAAAAGAAGTTTCTCGAATGCCCATTGACCCTCCGCTTCATTTTCCAAATCCTCGAGGGCTGCAGTGCGGGGGCGCTCCTCACCTGCATGTTGTGTGCGATTTCCTCCCTGTCAGAGAGGATCTGGGAAAGGTTCTTGGTGCCTAGGACGTTTCTCAGAGTGGTTTGGGCCAGAAGACGGGTTGCCGAGTCGGCGTTGGTGATGTTCGCCACGGCCAGGGTAGCATTCTGCACGCGGTAATAGACCACGCCGTCCACGCTGATGGTCACTGAGTCCTTAGTGAGGATCTACAACACAAAGGATGCGGTTTTATAACTGTCAGCCACCTCTTTCTTTAACTGTAAGGATGTCATCCAACAGAATATCTTAAGACATTTGATTTTCTTTATTCTTTAATACATGCTATTGCCTGAATTTGTGTTTGTGCTCCCCCAAGATCTGTGTATTGAAACCCAATCCCCAATGTGATGGTATTTGGAGGTGGGGGCATTGGGAGGTGATTAGGTCATGAGGGTGGAACCCTCATGGATGAGATTAGCACCCTTATAAAAGAGTCCCCGGGGCATTCCCCACCCTTCCGCCACACGAGGACACGGTAAGAAGATGCTGATCTAGGAATTAGGAAGCAGGTTCTCATCAGACCCTGAATCTGCTTGTGCCTTGATCTTGGACTTCTCAGCCTCCAGAACTGTTGGCAACACATTTCTGTTGTTTATAAGCCAAGCAGCCTTGGTATTTTGTTATAGCAGCCCGAAGGGACTGAGACAGCGAGCATCAGAAAGTTAACTATGTCTTTGAAAGCTTAATAAACACTCATTTATTTATTAACTTCATTCATTCAATTATTCATTAAATACTGAGACACTACTTAGTAGCAGGCACTGTACGAGATACAAGGGATAAAGGTATGAAAAAATGTGGTCCCTACTTTCAAAGGGGTTGGGGAATCAAGGGAGGATTTCAGGGACAAAGGACGGACAGTTGTAGGTGGCAGAGGTGATACTTGAACTAAGTCTTGAAAGAAGAAGTAAAAATTTTCTGAGGGTGGAGTGAAAGAGTATCCCGGGCAGAGAGGATAATGTGTGAAAAGGAGCAGAGGTACCAGGAGCCTGGGTTTGATGGACTCTAAATAGCACAGTATAATTAGAACAAAAAATGCATGGAACTGTTTTTGTAGGGTGAGGTCAGGGTGAGAGTATATTTACAGCATGCTACATAAAAATGCTTACCCAAATACAATGTGTCAACATTCCCCATCACATTCAGGGCAAAGTTCCTGGTGTGGTTTAAAGCCCTTTGACATCCAGCCCTCATTCTCCCTCCTCCTTCTGCACACCCTCTATGCTAGATGACGGTGCCCACATGCACCATGTTCCAAGTTCCAGGCCTTTCTGCAGGTGTCACCTCGGCTTTGGACAACCCCCCCCACCCCCACCCACAACTTCAGACCAGCATGCCCTTACTTACCATGGAAGACAGCTCAAATGTCCTTTTTCCTGTGAAATTCCCTGACTCATTCAGCAGTTTTAACACTTCTTCCTTTGCCCCTTCATTGCTGTGGTGTCATTTATTTACATCATGACTTCTCTGTTAGACTATGAAATTTTTGAGGGTTTATCTCTGTATCCCTAGCCCTGGCAGAGTGCTTGATACATAGCAGGGAGTCAATAAGCAAGAGATGAATCGGATTGAAATGGTCCAAGGAAGACAGTGGGGGATGAAGAGCTCAGGAGTGAGAGTCAGGAGACCCCAACTGCAGTTCCAGCCTCGCTGGGGACCTCCCTTGGGGACCTCCAGCAAGGCTTTTAGACTTTTGACTTCATGACTCCTCATTTGTGAGCTGGGGCTACGAATACTGCCCAACTCTACGCAAACATCTTTGAAGATCAAGTAAGATGTTTGCCAAGGAAGCCCTTTAGAAAGTATAAAGAGCTATGTACACAGAAGGTAGTAACAGTAATGATAATATACAGCTGTTTAGTCCTGCCAAGTGACAAAAGCAGTAATCCTTTTTTTAGTAACCGAAAAACACATCTAACGTGGAGAAGTGGGGTATTTGTAAATAGATGTACAGTATATTACCCTCTTGTGTGAGAATTAATTATTTCCCATGATGTGATGGGAAAACGTGTACCATTTCTACACAAATTCTTGCCTCTGTGACTCTGCTGGAACTTTCCAAAGCTGCGACCTCTCTGCTGATTATCGTAGGCAGAGTGTTTATCTCCCTTCTCAGTAAGTTCACAGGGGATCGGAAAAAGGACTGCTTGCCAAGTTCCAATCCTCGCTGCATTCAGCAGCTTGCAGGAGAGCAGGGAGCAGCTGGAAGGCAGCAGCTTACAGTGACCCTGCCAGATGCCTGCCTTGTTGACCGAGAAAAGTGCCACAAGAATTCCCAGCTACCCTGAAAGAGGCTCCTCCTGAGAGCCGATCTTCCATGCTGAAAATACAGCCACGCTCTCGGTCTTGTGTTTATGGGTGAAAATGATTTATGGTGTCATCAAGTCTGTGTGAGTTTTAAAATCTGACCTCACCAACTCCTTGGATCAGTACCAGCTGGGAAGTTCCTAAGCTGGTTTCTGGATTTTGTGACAAGAGAAGGCAACGTGGCCAGACTCCACTGTCAGTATTCTTCTGTCCTTCCCCGCATCATGTTTTTAGGCTTTCTATCTGCGATGTTATTATGCCTCCTTAGACATGGGTGCCATCACTACGTCAAGCACCACACCACGATGGAGCTTATGTGGAATGCAGTTAGCGTGGAGTGGTGGGGAAGGCACTGGACAGGAAATCGGAAGAGCTGGATGGGAGTCCTGGCTCCCTGCTGTAGTTTGGAGGAATTCCTTTGTCTCACTGCAACCATTTACTTTCTGTGATCCTGCTATGAGTTGCAACTGTGATTTGTGAAGTAGTTTGAAAAAGCACGAGGTAATTACTAATATGAAATATTACAGGCTTATCTCAGGTGGCAAATGAACAGTTTCTAATTCCTTAGCGTCTCACCAATTTGTCTACAATAAAATCAAGATCCTTCTGAAGGATACTGTATCAGAAGCCCACAGAGGAGAAATGTGGTAGTAAAAATGATGACAACAGTGGTAATGCTAACAGGATATTTATGTCATTCCACTATTTTATAATAAGAAGAAGCACTTTCATAGCGCTTACTGTTTATCAGCCTCTGTTCTAAGCATTCTACATAGAGTGCCTCATTTAGTCCTCAAAAGAACCATATAAAGTAGGTCCTGCTATTATAACCTGAGGAAACTGAGGCACAGAGAAGTTAAAGAACTTGCTCGAGGTCACACAGCCAGAAAACCGTGAAGGCAGGCAGGCTCTAAAGCTGTGCTCTAACTGCTGTCCCCTACTGCCTGGCCCCGCCAAGCACGTTCACACGTGAGAGCTCAGTTATTTACAGCAAAAGGCACCCTTACCTCCTGAGGAGGAATATCAAACGAGATGGTTCTCATGTCCACTTTGATGAAGCTGTCAGTGCACGGCAGAATGAAAAACAGGCCTGCAACAGAGACACACACAAGACTAGAGAGAGAGACACCAGCACCCAGTCAGCTCAGTGCGCCCTTCAGTTCTAACAGAATCAACCTGATCAACCGAAAGAAACCAGTCCATCTCAGGGAGCGAGCCAGAAGCCGGGAGTGCCATCGTGGCCTCCTGCGGCTCTCCTCCCACGTCTAACTGTCCCCCGAGGCCTGGGGGCTGCATCTCCTGACTCCACTGTTATCGTGGCTTGTTTGTTTTCACTTAGACCAATGCAATCACTTCCCACATCATCTTTCTCTTTCTTCTAGTTTCTCTCCTATGAACCAATACAAACCCCTTGAATAAATTGTATGAGGTCCTGCACAACCTGCTCCCACTTACCTCTGCGGCCACTCCCCTGTGCTCCCGCCCTGCACTCCTGCTGGCCTGAGCTGCCTCAGTTCCTTGAACTTATGATGCTCTCCTCGGCAATGCTTTGCACACGGTCAGATTCTGCCGGGAACACCTCGCCTCTGGCTCACACCTTTTCATGCCAAGATGGCACCTCCTACGAACTGAGGTGGTCACTCTTCTCTGAGTTTCCACAGCTCTCTGGGACTACCTGACCATGATGCTTATTACATGGGACTGTAACTGTCTGTTTCCTTGTTGGTGTCCCCCCACCGGGCAGTAAGATCCTTGAGGGCAGGGACTGTGTTTTAGTCTCCCTGGAATTCCCAGAGCCTGGAATTCTCTTGGGGAGCTTAATCGAAGCTTGCCGAAAATAAAGACTGAAAGCATTTATTTCAGTGAGGATTCTCATGCTCGAATTTCGATAGCAGTGGCTATTTTTGGCCTGATATAATCTTATCAACTCAAACAGGAAAAGGAGGGGGGAAGTGGGAAGGAAAGAGTGATTTCTGGCAGGCACCACTGCATTGTTATACGGCTTGTGCTTCCAGAACTCTCTTCCCTTAGGAGACCCTCCTAAGGGAAATCACAAAGTTGCAGAGACCCTCATAAGGGAAATCACATCAGTAAAAGAAAGAATCTCACTCTCCAGGCAAACAGCTCAGACTCCTAGTACTGACCAGGTCCTTTGGCTCCTCCTTGTAAAATGCGACCCAGTCTAAAGATGATGGCTCTTTCATATTCTTTTATGATCTAGATTAAAAACACAAATAACAATTAAACACGAGTACAAATATTTATATGCATAGCTTTTAAAATACATATTTCTGCTCTAAACAAGTTAGATGCTTCTATTTTATTTTTTTCTCTATAATCCAGACAATAGTTTAACACGGTTAATGTTTAATTACCCCTGCCAAGTATGATAGTTATTTATGTTTTAAAAATGGGTTATAAAAGCAGTAGATATTCATTGTATAAAATTTGGGAAGTACAGAAGAGTATACAGAAGCAAATCCACAATCTCACTCCCCAGCTGTTAATACCATTATTCAGTTACTCACGCTTTGTCAACACAGGAAAAAAAAAATCTAAAGTCCTCACAGCATGTCTCCCGATTCCTTAAATTATCATGGTAACTTATCTGAAAATCCTTGGAGCATATTTTATCTCTTTAGAAATACATAAATGACATCACTTGTCACGGTGTTAATAACTTTGAAGGAAAAATAACCAGCATCTGTAGGGCATTAACCATGTGCCGGGTGTTGTGTTAAGTACCTGACTGATTTAATCCTCACAATAGCCCCATGAAGCATATGCTGCTATTTCCTCTCGCTTTACAGGTGAGGGAAGGGCACACAGCAAACAACGGCCCAGCAGTCGAACCTCAGCATCCTGACTCTGCAGGGCGTGTTCTCACAGGACCACCCCGCATCCCTGATTCCGGAAGATTTTAGATAGTGACTTTGACTTCAATCCTTAGGGAAGACTGGCTGGACAATGGCTGTGGTCTTAAGATTGCATTATAAGCGCGGGCTAGAGCGAATGTTTCCAAAGCGAGATGAAGGAAAAAGAATTATAGGCCAGTAGTCTCTGTCTCTTTTATATGCACACACGGTGCGTTTATATACGTTGGAGTTGACCCCTTTTCAGATGTGACTGAGATACTCTTTACCTTTATGCACATCCATATCGACAATGGGAAGGTTAAAACTGTGAACAAGAATGATACAGCCACCAAAATCCATCCACAGGGTCCAAGGCCTGTATTGGGACTATCTGTGAAAACAAAAGACAGCTCTCACCACTGTTCAGAGCACAGTGTCCCCAGATGCATCCTTGCTATTCACTGAACACCTACCCTTGGCATTATACTAGCTGTTTTCCATGAATCTTCCCATCAAATCCTCATAACAACCCTGAAGTGCAGGTGCTACTTTCCCTAATCTACTCAACATGATGACACGCGCATTATCCACATCACTCTCCACTCGATCTGGCAAACATTTATTAAGCACCTAATATTTATTATGCAATGAACTGATAAAGGTGAGTAGACCCAATCCCAACTACAAAGAATGTTAAGATTTAGTGGGAAAGGCAGACAGATAATTATAAAATTAGGTGGTAAGTGCAGGTAGACGGTCTGTTCAGAATGTTTTAAAACACAGAATAGGGGTAACTCTCCCCACACTGGATGAAGGTGAAAGTGAAGTAGGGTGGGATGGGGGGGTGCGCAGGTGATGGCGGGGGTGGGGGGGTGTCAGAGGGGCTTCTTGCAGGATGTAATGGTTAAGGAAAATACCAAAGAAAGGGAAGGGGAAGGCAGGAAAGGGGCATTTAAGCCGAGGTGACAGCATAATTAAAGGCGAAAACCCTATGATATACCTGTTAAGAGCTCATTTAGGTCCTCTCTTTAAAAATGACAACTGTAAAATATCTCACTGTGAAATATATGCACAATTTATCATCCATTTCCTGATTAAACATGTTGTTTCTGATTTCTTACTAGTATTAACCGTGTTATAATGAACATCTTTGGACAGTTTTCCTTTCAAATTTCTAATCATTTCCCTCTTCTGTAATATGAATAGCTTTTTGTCTGATCCCAAAGATAATGCATGCCCCACTGCAAAAAATTTAGAAAAGTATAAACGAAGGGATAAATTACTCAATCCAGAGATGATAAATATTCTTCTAAATTCTTTCTTTGTGCACACACGTTTTTATAAGTAAATAAAGTTTGTAACCTATTTTTCTCCCCTCTAGATATTTTTTCACTTTCCTTTTTAGCCTTTATTGCTAGGCATTTGCGCTTTTTCTGTTTTGGTTTTAATGGTTTATCAGTGATATGGAATTATAACCATCATGATTTTGGTTAGATAAATACCAAATTTTACATTTCGTGAACATGCAAATGCGACTCAGCTAAGCGATGTAGTGAAGCACAATTCATTTTCCGTTCCTGCACAACTTTTTGTTTTCTTTTCTGGAGTCAATGTCCTGTCTTTTTTTTCCCCCCCTTTGCTTGGTTTCCAACGTACTTATTGATTCAATCCCAAACCTTTCATCAATTGCCTACCTCTCCCTTCAGCAGGGTCAGGTATTCGACCAATTTCACCTTCTGAGAAAGTTGCAGAGCAGTGTCTGGACCCTTTCCTGCTCCTGTTGCAACCGCGATCACGCTGATCGCCTTTCACTATCATCCTGGGAAATTCCCTTTCCTCCCCGAGTTGTGTTTCCCATCTTCTGTATCTGGCGTCTTCCTCATTTTTATTTGTTTTTCCTTTCTGTGGGGAACAGAGGGACTGAGTAGGCCGAGGGAGAGCTCCATTTTCTTATCAAACACAAAAGGCATCTGCTGCCGTCTTTCCAGGGGCTGTTTTAATAATGGGAGGGAGGGCGGGTGGCAAGAGGTGAGGAACGTGTAACTCCGCAGATCAGAACTGGGGCGAAGACCGCAGGCAGTGAGATAGGACTCTGAATAAACAGGAAGCCAAGAAATAGGCAGACTGACGGCTGGGAGCTCAGCACAGAGACACAAGTTGGCGTCCAGGTCAAGTGCTCTAAACCGTAAGATTAAAAAGTCAGAAATACACATACGTGCTTTGATTATACATGACTTTGTAGTTTTCTGATCCCGTGTCAGTGTGAGGTAAACATCCTAATACATACGTAAATAAGAGTGATCTAAGTTAACACTGGAGGTTTCTAAATTATAATTTTGAGGGGTATGGACATATTCACTGACAGAATATTCCAAGCGAGGCCACAGTGTTGCTTGCAGAGGAAGCCCTATCAGGTGCTGACATAGCTGGTACTCATCACAGCAGCCATGTTTAGACGTTCTATTATATACTCCACGCGCTGTGTTAAATTACTTTAGACATTTACTCCATATTACTAAGCCCTAGGAAGTTATGTATTTTTAATTCCACTTTATAAGTGAAGTAATGGAAGCAACACAACTTGCCCAAGGTTGCACCATTGGAGGGCTTGGGATTCAAACACAGGTCATCTCACTCCAAAGCCCATGCTCTAACCCAATTCACTCTTCCACTCTTTGCCTCTGTATTTAAAAATTCCTCATTAAAGAAGTAGTGTTTGGAGTACTTCCCCAAGACAGAATCTAAGCTGGGAAAGCATGGTAGGAGTTCTGAGGATGAAATCTGATCTTCTTACAGAGGAAGCCCTCTGAATTCCAGCTGTGCCTATTTATAGCAAAAGAGTCTCAAAGCTCTTTGCCAGGCTCTGCTCTGCAGGTTTCCAAAATGAAATGAATTCCAAACAAGGCACGGATTGGCCACAAATACCTATCTGACAGCTTTTGGTGCTTTCTAAAACACTGCCCCCGAATCTCCCATATTCCAGACAAAGTACATGGTTGTGTCCTGAACATACTGGACCATAAATTCCCCGACGGCAGGGATGTTTATTTTCATTTTTATATTCTCAGTGTCTAGCCCAGTATCTTGCAGAGGGTAAGTATAAAATACTTCTCAGCCAGCTTTCCAGCTAGATGTGCTTTTTCCTTCCTCTGATTCTTGAGAGGATGAATTTAAACTCATTTAAACTTATATTTTGCCTAATTTTTTTAATAATTTCTTGTGCATTGATATTCTTTATTTGATGAAACTTCCTGAGACTAAGGGAATGTCTAAGTTTCAACTTTCTGTGACTTCTTAATTGTGTGACCGTTACCTCTCTGAACCTTTGTCTTTACTTGAAATAATGATAATTAGACTGGCCTTGCAGGATTGAGGCAGTGCTCAGTAAACACAGGTGATAGTTTTCCGTCATTCTCCTATTTTACCCAAGTGTTCAATTTCCACCAAGAAAAACTGAGGAAACAGGTGGCATTTACCCCTTTTTGGTAAGAGCCGCTGAAACTACTTAATTTTTCCCTCACTTTATGCCTCCCTCCTGCCATGCTAGGCCTGGACATCCAAAGACCTTCAAGAAGCTCATTTATGAATTGAATTATTAAATCACTGAATCATTATCTACATAAGGATAAGCTGGAAAGTACAGCCCAGGTTTTTTTGTGTTCAGTTTCCATTCTGTTCTTGAAAATGCCAGATGAGTATATGGAATTTGATTTGAGTATTTGGATCTTTTGAAAACTGGGCCTGGTTGGTTCACATTTCAAACGCTAATCAGACCAAACATCCTGGGGGAAATGTCACAGTTTTGTATCATTCTATGCCTTTAAAATGAAACTACCCCATTCTCAACCCTTGAAACTCTTCCCCACCTGGTTATAGCTCAAAAAGGTGCTTAAATCACATTCCTCAGAGAGGTGAGGCTTAAACTTGACCAGGCTGTAAGCGAACCCTTGGTCATCAACCAGTTACTACGGGGCAAAGGGGAAAAGAAATTCTCAGTTACTCCCTCAAATTTCATGAAATTCATTTCCTTCAAGTTTCCCATTCATTACCTTGAGGACTAAATCCTCCCTCCCAGCTTTATGCAGTAAAGACAAACAACGAGTAACAGGTAATTCTGAGATATTTTGGTTAATATTTGCTGAGTCGGAACATTCCTGAAGATTAGGGATCCCATGATATTCGGTTGTAAATACCACTTTGCCATGTTTTAAAGTATTTTTTCTTCTACTAGAAAACTCTTTCCTGAAAACTGCATTAAATTTTTAACTAACCAAAGCAAGGTTCTGAAAATGGATAGAAGTTCATACATTAACATGTTTTAACTGGACACTCAAATTGGGCTTACCTCCAGGAAACTAATGTAAATTTTTAAAAATACTGCTTCTTTCCCCTGATTTTACAAACAAAAATACTGTCACTCTAACAATTAAAATTATAGCTTAACAAATAGAGAAAGAAAAATGACCTATACTTTCATTGTCTCTGAATGGTGATTATTTTCTGCCTTGCTATGTCCTTTAAACTTTTTCTATCCTGCTTTTTAAAACAAATGAAATAATAGTATACACGATGATCTTAAATCTGCTTTTCCCCCCATATTGTGCACATCTTTTCATGTCAGTGTATATTCTCTATTATAAAAGGCTGAATAATATTCCATTGTTCCATATGATGAACACTTTCTCAATTAGAAACTCTGCAGCACTGAATAAACCTTTAGCAAAGTTTCCATACATCCTTATTGTGTAAACTAAGTTTGCTGAAAAGATGAAATCACACAATTCTTAAATTTCTCTCATTCTGGAGGTATCTTTTATTTACTAATAATAACCACTTATTGAGAGCCTATTACATGCCACTCACAAGCTGACTCTAATTTTTTACTTTAATTGCTTCTAATGTTCACAAAAATCTATAAAGTACATGTAAAATATTCCTCCTGAAATCCCAAAGTCATAAAGCAAAAGACTTTCTGGGAAGAGACAGAGGAAAACCAAACCAAACCATGAAACAAATGGGAAAAAAAAACAAAACCCCAAAAATGGCGTAGGGTAATTTTTGGTAGGTTAGCTTCCAGAAAAGCAGTCAAATATTCTTTTCAAGATGATAACAGGCATAATTTCAGAGCACTGTATGTTGTTAACGATCCTGTATCAGCCGATTTACTTTACGGTCTATTGAATTTGGCATTCCGGGAAACCAAGTGAAATAATAAATGCCATTTATCATGGAGACTTCATTCTAAAGTTCAAAAGATTGGATTTCCTCTTTAGGCAAAGGCCAAAACCATGTCCTACACAGTACCTGAACATCTGACTCAGAATCATATGCATAACAAAGCACAGAAATGAAAGGTGAACCAAACAATTATCGAAATGCTAACATTTAAAG